TAAAAACATGCCAAGATCAAGTATTAGATATAACCCCCTTAAACATTCAAATAATAGGGGTAGATCCAAATTTAAATTTGCCATTTTGATAAAAGTCCAAGCTTTTCGTAATTACATAATTACCTTCAATCAAATCCCACAAATCCCGTTACTTTACCTTTTGAAATAATATCAAATCCTTCGGCCCATAGTTGATTAACGAGATGCATAGTTGAATTACATCTGTATTAATATACTATCCCATATCATTTAATAAACTATCCCACTGGTATAATTTTACTATGGATCTCGTTAATCGACTATGGGCCGAAGAATCATCAAAACCCTAGATTTGAGAAGTGACGGCGGCGGATTTGTTTTTAAAATTAATAGACTATCTCATATCTTTTAATAGACTATCCCATGTATCTAATTCGACTATGGGTTTAATTAATTGACTATTGAAAAAATAATAATATATATGGAAACTGAATAATATGTTTGTTTGAAATACTAATCAATTAGGGTAATTTTCCTTATTATATGAAAACGATTAGGGTAAATAATAATATATATGAAAAAATAATAATATATATGGAAACTGAATAATATGTTTGTTTGAAATACTAATCAATTAGGGTAATTTTCCTTATATCATGTAATAGACTATCTTATTGATCTAATTCGACTATGGATCTCGTTAATTGACTATGAATCCCGTATTATTCAACTACATATAGTATATTAATAATTTCAATATAGTACATTAATCTGCTATGATAGTATATTACGGTTATAGTAGTGATATGAAATTGTGTTACAAACAATATACCACTGAAATGACAAGAACATTGAGAACAACACCAACGTAAAGTATTCCACATAACCAATAAAATAGTACATTAATAATCTCATAATTTCAATCTAGGGTTGTGATTAAATACATAAAACACATCATAACACAATCAAACCAATATGTCGAGTTAAAAAACTCTAGTACATTAATAATCTCATAATAGTATAATAAATGAAAATGGTAGTATCATACGGTATCAATAATAGTATACTACTGTATTACAACGGTTTAACACTTAACCGAAGTTACCGAGACATTACATCGTAAACACCTCTTTATAGCAACCAACCCACCAAACCTCAACAAAATCCGTACGAAATTCGCCATCGAAAAAACCTAAAATCATGAAACAAAATAAAAAATGCAGAATACTAAAAAATGATTAAATAGACTGCAAATACATT